CTCACCGAGTCACAGAAAGAAAAGACTAAAGAGCCATGGGCAATAATCAGGACTTTCCCTCTCTCCAGATCCCTAAGGAAAATGATCTGATTCATCCTAGTGGTTCACTATAGTACACGTGCACACTCAATGGCTTCAGTCATGTCTCTTTGAGACCCCATGGACCACAGGCGCCTCTGTGGTCCACAGCATTCTCCAGGCAAGAATACTGGAGTGGGTTGCTATGCCCTCCTCCAGGGGATCGTCCCGACCCAGGGACTGAACCTGCATCTCCTGCGTGTCCTGCATTGCAGGTGGATTCTTCACTGCCGAGCCACCTCACTATAGTGTAACAAATATCTTTTGAGCATCTACAAGTAGTGTCCTAGGGGTTGAGGTTACATGGTGAATAAGACAGATACAGCCCATCTTCACTGGAAGATAGAAAACTACTCAAATCATGAATATTTTGAGAGCTACTACAAAGGAAAAAAGAAGGGTCTTAAAACAGAGATCTATTCCAATCAGATGGGCTGGAAAAGGTCAAGTGATAACCAGAGCTGGGATGCTGGTGTGATTAGACGTGGTTGAGACAGAGGGAACAGCACAACCAAAGGTCCCATGACAAGGGGGAGGAGGCGGTTTGGACCCGCACAACGAGCAGAGAAAGGCGGGGCCAGAGCAGCAGAGACTTCCGTTCTAGCTGCCTCAGTTTCTCCTCAAAGTTTAAACATCAGGGTCCGAACAGCAGGTGGGCGTCTCAGGGCAGGAAATAAAGGGCAAGCTACTGTGGGTGGGTGAAGGTAAGACTACACAGCACGAGCCAAGTTTAAGAAGGGAGGGGGAAGGATGGGGAGCAGGGAGGAGGAAGGCTAGAGAAGCAAATGGGGTTTTTCGGCAGAATCCATCTTGACAGAGATTGGGGTGGAAATATCTAGAAGGTGGTAATCTGTCCACTTCCCGGTTCTGCTAGATCTGCCCTGAGCAAAAGATCACCAACAGCTTCTTTTTTGAGTTCATCCCTTCCCACCTTCTCAGGACTGTGAGGAAAAGACCTCTATGAACAAACACCACCATCACATTCCTCAGTTTAGGAGTAACCTAAACTTCTTGCTTCTAACCATCTACTGCTAAGCATTTTTATACATTAAAAGTAAACTCCACTAACTTGACTTCTAGGGATAACTACCATCTCCACCCCTTTTTCCACAGGTCAGGCATGGGGCCACAAACTTTAGCCTCCTTTACTCCTCTTAAAACGGGAGGTATTATTACTGTTATACCCATTTTACGGATAAGGAAACTGAGCCCCCACCCCCACCGCCTCCCGCAAAGCTACTGAGGCAAAGTCACACAACAAACCGCTGAGAAAAGTGGATCTGGAATTTACACCCAGGTGGATTGATTCTGGGGTTTCCCAGGTGGCTCAGTGGTTACAGAACCTGTCTACAAGGCAGGAGATTATGGCGATACGGGTTCAATTCCTGGAAGGAGAAGATCCCCTGGAGGAGGGCATGGAAACCCCCTCCAGTATTCTTGCCTGGAGAATCCATGGACAGAGGAGACTGGTGGACTACAGTCGATAGGTCACAAAGAGTCAGACAAGGCTGAAGCATCTGACCACAGCCCAGCAGACTGGCTCCAGCATCCTTTCCTTGAACCACTGCACCAAGCTACTTTTCTCCTGAGAGGCAGGAAATAAAGGAAATTTACCTTAGGCTTAATTCAGATGTTGGTTTTGCTCGGGATGGAGAAATACAGTTTACCGAGACAGACAGCAAACCCGTGGGGGACTTGGGGGAGCTTTTCTGATGCCCATGGTGTGGGCATCACCAGGTTCGTAAGGACGGAAGGACTCCTCTGTGTTCTCGGGTTAGGGTGGCCCTGCTTTCTTTCCAGGAAACATCTCAGCGAAATATGCAAGCGTGTTTAATTGCAGGGGCTCGGGCAACTTGTTTATCTTCCTTAAACACTGCCAGGGTGGCTCCCGTTTGTTATCTGGGGTGTGAAATGGAGGCTGACAACAATTAATACCTCCTCCCAGGCAGCTCGGCGGCGCTCTGACGGGAAGCGGTGGACTTCCGAGCAGGCGGCGGGCCGAGCCGTCACTCCGCGTCCGAGGCGGCGGTCGGGGGAGGGGGGGAGAATGACAGCGGCAGCTGACGGCCCCTCCCGCGGCCTCGGGAGAGGCCCCCGTGATAAAGCGCCCTGCTTTGTGGTGTAATCAACTTGCTATACATGCATTACCTCCTAATGAGCGCCGTGTTTAAACAAGTGTATAGAACACATCTGTCCGGGCCTGCAGACTCGAGGCTGTGTGACCAATTTCAGCATCTGAAAGTTAAATTAATGGTAAAGGGTTTAATTGTGAGTAAACAATACCGCATTAAGGAGCGGTAAACACAGCAGTGGGGACCCACCGACCGGCTCCGGCATCACAGATGCGGCTGCCTCCGTGTGACCGTTAATAGTCTTCCCCCGCCCGGACTTTCTGACAGTGTCCTGAAGCCCATTTGTCATCTAAATGGTCCGTCCCCTCCTCAAATGTAATTTTGGCCCATGGTCTAGTTACCGGCCCTGCAGGGTCTGTGTTCTTTGGAAGGTGGGCATTAAAAGAAAAAAAAAAAAAACCAGCGCCAGTGGAGAGGATCTGGAGAAGCTCCAGTTTCTACACTGAAGCAGAGAGTTGGGTGGGAGTCGGGGGGACAGACTCCCCCTTCCATCCAGGCAACCGGCCTCCGGCCAAGCAGCCAGGCCGGCGCAGACTCCAGGCTTCAACTGCAATGATTCCAAACCTGGTTTTAAAACACCCTAGGGTGTCTCCAATGAACAAAGGACGCCTCCAAAGCAAATTAAGTTCCCTTTAATTAAAGATCATAACATACGCCACAGAACATTCCGTCACGGTAGGGGAAAGGAAGAGACTGTCACATAAAATAATAGGGCTCCACAACTCAAAAAAAATTAAGGATCACACAGCAAGAGCTCTGCACCTTCCCGATGGGTTAACAGCCATCGTCATGGCCACCTTGCAAACAGCCCGGCAGCCCATGCGTGCGCCGGAGCCGCCAGGTTCTCCCCACGGGCGCGTGTTAGGAGTGAAGGCTTGGCCTCGGGAAGCGGAAGGGCCCAGGGCGGGTCCTCTTTGTCTTTCCATCACCAGCAGCCCTGGATCAGGTGGGAGGATGTCTCAGGGGGGCGTGGTCCTGACTCCCAGGATGCCAACAGCACAGAGCTGTGCTCTCCTGCGAGGGGCGTGGCCTCTCTTTTTAAAAAGGCAACTTTAAAAAGGTGAGAAAGCCTGCAGCAGATAACTCAGCCATCTAGAACTTTCCTTGTCTTCCCCGCAGCCTGGGAGTTGCCAGGCAGCCCAGACCAACTCCACAGAGTACTGAATCAGGTCCCTGTGCCCAACGTCTCAGCTATGAATAGAGGAGCCTAATCTGCTCTCCCGGTGTGTTGCTTGAGGTCCTCCAACAAAGAGGGGGTGAAAATGACCATGATCAAATGTCAAAGGCTTCTCTCTCACTTCCTTTCTACGTAGAAGTCCGCGGCTTTAAAGACAAATGGTCTCATGTTTGCACACCCACCCTCAAACCTCCCAGCATCCACAAAATCCTGTCTCTGCGGTTTTCAACCTCTTTGAGCCTCAGTGTCCTCATCTGTGAGATGGGTTGCTGAAGGGATTGAATCCATTCATACATGTCAACGACTTCAAAGGATATGTGGCACAGGGCAAGTGCTCAGTAAATGTGAGAAGCTATTACCATGAGTGTGTGACAGGTACCCCGTTTCAAAAGACCTAATCTAGCAGACCTGTGGGGCTTCCTAGGGGGCGCTGGAAGGTGGTAAAGAATCCACCTGCCAGTGCAGGAGATGCAGATTCAATCCCTCGGTTGGGAAGATCCCCTGGAGGAGGGCATGGCCACCCACTCCAGTATTCTTGCCTGGGAAATCCCATGGACAGAGGAACCTGGCGGGCTACAGTCCATGGGGGCACAGAGACTCAGACACAACTGAAGTAATGGAGCACACTCAGCAGACATATAGGAACAGCTTGAAAAAAAGCAGAACCACAATTGTGTCTGGATTACCGTGAGACACTAGGTTTCTAGAAGGCCAGTGTGTACGCTCACTACAGCTTTTTCTCTGCACTGCCTGCTCCACCCTTCTCAGCAATCAAGTACTCATGACATCCCTGGATGTGGAGGTAACTGACCCACGCTCCCTGCCTGACCTGGGCTGGCCTTCCACACTCCTCAGAACTCCAGGGCTCCATTTCCCCAGATGGACAAGTAACTTCTTGCTTCCTAAAACCAACTCCAAGTCAAACCAGCCCTCTAGCTCCAGTTAAGTTTTTAGAGCTCAATTTCTTCGAAAGGTTTCCCAACATGTTGACTTATTTTGTACATTCTCAGTACAGGTAACCTCACATTTCTATTTCTGCCACCACTCTTGTCAGTAATTTCCCCCCACCACCTTTTTAACCCTTATTGGTTTGCTGTATTTGCACTGGGCAAATCTGTGTAGCACTCAGAGACCCCAGCATTTCTAAATGTGCATGGTGACCGAGTTGCTGGAAGAGGGCGCCAGGGGACCTGCCTGTGGTGACACTGGGGAGCATCAGTGGCTGGGGGTGGATGGACAGTTTTTGCTGAAACCCTGTTCCTCCCTCCACCACTCCCCCTCCAGGCCACCTTCTTGGTGCCAATCTGCAGGAGCTCTGGTTTCTTCAAAAGAAGCCCTAGGAACCATTGCCTCACTTTGTCACTGAGATTGGATGACAGAGTTCTGTTGCCACTAAAACAATGTTGCCATGTTTTGGCTGTTGTCTCCTGGTTTGAATTATTCCTGGTTCAACACATGCCTCCTTGTCTTCCATCTCTGACAACCAAGCCCATGACACGCAGAGATGGAGAGGAACCAGGCTGAGATCCCCCGTTAGTGACAGAGGCCATCAGTGTTTCCAGCAATAGTCAGAACCAGAGTGCATCACCCACCTGCGCCTGGCAGTCTCTCACCTCCTGCTGCTTCCACCCTCGTCACTGGAAGAAGGTAGGGTTAGTCCAAGTTGAGGTTTCAGAAGTAACTTGTAGGCATGCAGATCTCGGTAGCCCCTGATAAGTGGAAGGAAATTTGGAAACTCTCTTTTCCAGTGACTTTTTCTCCCCTAAACTTTGTCTCTGCTATGAAATTCTAACTTTCAGATGAAATTTTTTGCAGAGATTAGGACCATAGCCCCAAACACCAACCCCCCAACTTTGATGTCCATTGTGATGCACCCCTTGGATTACCTGCTGTGGTTTCTCACCACAGAAAAGGGCTGAAAATTTCCATACCTTGTCTGACTCCATTTTCCAGTTGAGAAGACTCCTGCCCAGAGAGGGGCATAGACTCACAGTAAGTAGCACAGGACTCAGAGGACAAGCATCTCAAACACACCTGCAGCATTTCTGGGATAAGATATAGATCCACCCCAAACACCATTATGTTCATTTTTCTCTGTGATCCAATCAGATGATGACTTGCCCCCTCCCGAGGTCTTGTCCAAAGGGCACCCTGTTTATCTTTAAAAGAGAAATTCACTCCTTTTCTCCCCTTCCCTTTAAAATCAACAACAATAGCACAGGCCCCAAATTCAGCTATCCTAAGTCGGAAGGGAGAACAGAACCCACTGAGGCAACAGATGCTGTGTTCCTCCTCCTCTGCGACTTTAGTTTGCCTTTAAAGCCCATTTTCACCACTTATTGATTTTAGTTTGCTACTGGTCTATGAATGACAACTTGAATTAAGACAACACAGGCTGAGAAGCCACAAGGCAGCGGTAAATGATGTCCTCTGCTTCTTGGTGAAATGCCTCATGACCCTGCAGCCCCCTGCCCAGCCCCCACACTCCCGAGGAGCGGTGGGCGGGCAGACCCCAACTGGCTGCCTGGCAAGGGGTCCAGGGGAGTCGGAACAGAGCTCTGGGGTGAGGGGGCGAGCTGGGACGTCACCTCACAGCTGCCAGCCCCACACAGCCTCTTTACTGACAGAGAACTGGCTTGTTTGGAGCAGGGGCTGTGTGTTTCATAAAAACATCTCTAATAGAGCCGGAAGATTCCACCCCACCACTGCCTCCACCAAGCAGGAAAACTAAGCCTAATTGTCCTAGCTGCTCCAGACTCACATTTACAGAGAGAAAACTCCCCAAATCACCCTTAAGAATCTCAACTCTCCTCCCTTCCAAGGCTCTTCACCTAAGGCAATGTCCAGGCAGAAGTGCCCTGTGACGACACCTTAAAATTTGCATTGATAGTCTGTCCTAAACCTTAATCTGTACTGTAATTTTTTTTAAATTTAACACACACCCGTTAATTCAGAAATTCTGCTTTTATTAATGCATCTTAAGAACATAATTGAGTAAGTGAATGACATTCAGAGGACACTTACTGCAGCACTGTTTATAACAGACACGTTTATGATAGGCATTTAAATGTTGGAAACAAACCTCTTAAGTATCTAGCGAGAGGGGATTGGTAAATAGCTTTTGGTAAATCCATTCAATTAAATACTTTGCAGCCACTGGGAGTGATGATGCTGAACAATATTTATTAGATGTTTTCACGATATGTTGCTAAGTAAATAAGAAAATTAAGAGACCATGTGTCTAGTCCAATTCTTGAAAAACAAAACCAAGAAAAAAAATTCCTCATAGAACGCTTCTTACAGTTATTTGCATAGAAAAAAAAATGAAAATTGAGATAAGCCAAAACGTTAGCTTGGAGGAGGTTTGAATTCCCTTCTGACTGATTTCTGAATGTATTCATTTATAATCAGGAAAAAAAATGATGACGTGAGTTTCATGTGGGCAGGTGGAGCTGTGTGAGCCAAAATGGCCTCGAATCCTGCTCCAGGCTTTCTAATGTCACCCGAAGAGAGTTCCTGTCATGTCAGATTGGAAGCTCTCACCTCTCAAAAAAACAGCAACCCAGCTAACACAGGGCACTTCCTATTTCCCTGTGTCTTCCAACACCCAGTGGGAGGCACTGCATGGGTGAGATTCATTTAGAAACCCATTCTCACAGTCATTATGAAAAATGAGAGGTTGGAGTTTTTTCTCTCAACCAAATCGGCAGAGAAGACAGAGGCTCAGAGACAGACAGGGAGGGAGAAACTGAATTTAACCCACCATCACACAGTACACCAGGAGTAAAGGTCATGTCAGTGCTTCCCTGTATCCCCAAAACCAGAGACCCAAGACCCTGAGTGAGGACAAGACTAATAGAAAACCTCTGCCATCTAAGGAGCTCCTGAGAAGACATTTCCAACCCACTTTGGGGTCATGGATAAATTTGGGAATCTAATGGAAGCTATCCTGGAGGAGGGCATTGGCAACTCCATCCCTATTCTCGCCTGGAGAATCCCCACGGACAGAGGAGCCTGGCAGGGTACAGTCCATGGGGTCACAAAGAGTCAGACAGTAACCCTCTCCCAGAACTATACCTGTAAACACAACTCTGCACACAGTTCAGGGGCTTACGCTCTTCCCTGGTATCTCAGATGGCACAGTTTGCCTGCAAGGCAGGAGACTTGGGTTCAGTCCCTGCGTCAGGAAGATCCTCATGGAGAAGGAAATGGCAGCCCACTCCAGTATTCTTACCTGGAGAATTCCATGGACAGAGGGGCCTGACAGGCCCCATGGTTCATGGGGCTGCAAAGGCCCTTTCACTTCAGGGCCTCACGGGTCATCCACCGACCTTCCGTGAGTGACCACAGGCCAGTAAGCCATGGAATGGCTCTCATCAGTTGGGACCTATATCCATTTGAACTCAGCACCAATTTTGAGAAATGTTTGCCTGCACACTTGCCACATCTTTACGTCCACCACCAAGTTCCCGAATCCTTAAAGACAGGACATGGGGACTTCCTGAAGTAGTCCAGATGAAGGCCAAGAGGAGGAGCCGATGATGGGGAGGCCCTGAGCAGGGGGGTGGAGGTGGGGAAGCCCCACCCCTCAGCACCTTCTGTTCTGATAAGGCGGGTGCCACCTTGTTACTCCACAGCTGCCTGGCGGGACTTCCTCGGAATCGAAAGCATCATATGTATTTTGTGAGGGTGTTAAAGAGGGCAATTAAAGGGTAGCACAAGTCAGACCTCACGCACGCACGATCCTTCCAGATCGGAGGCCCTGCCTTTCTGATCATCTCGGCTGGTGCAGAACTGGGGCCAGCAACAAAAGGTGTTAATACCCTGATGAGGCGCTCGTGCTGATAGATGACCCATTATGGTGATCACTCTTGTGCGAATGGCAAATAGGTTTGATCAATTAGATTTTAATGTAAAGTGGGGCCTGGGGGAGAAAAAACAGCAACTGAGAGAGGGGAGACCCTTTGTTACTAATGTGTCTGAAAAAAGCACTTAATTGAGGTCATAATAATATTAGCAGTTCTCATCATCAATAATTCAGCCTTATTTATTACTAGCCGATAAAGTCCTGTCAGGTGGGGAATGTAGGGGGCTTTTGTTAAAGACAGGCTACACAGGGTTTGCTCTCTCTCTCTTCTTTCTCTCTCTCGCCAGCTGCAGCTTCTGGACCACAGAACATCTAACTTTCAAAATGCTTTCTAGCTATACTCTCTCTATGTCGAAATGAGGGACAGAAAAATAGAAGTTTTCCATGACATATAATCTAACCCTCTCCTGTAATTCTTCACCCGAAAAAAAAAAAATTTTTTTTAACCCTTCTCTCTGCAAGTCACTAATTTTGCTTCAGAAAATTCAGGAGAAAAATAATTTCTATTCTTGCATGATTTCGAACCCTACAGAATGATATAAATTCTGCCTTTTCACACACTTTTAGTCACCTGTGGTTTGTTATCTTTTAAAGCAAAAGAGAGAAAGAGAGCGAGAGCGTGTGCTAAATGAATGTATAATTGTACAATTAAAGATGCTAGCTCCAGTGGTAAAATTTAAAATGTATTAGTCTCATAAAACCGCCTCATTACTCTCCGTGTCTTAAAGGACATACTTGTCCATAATGAGGCAAATGCAGGAAATGGCACAGGGGTGAGAGTGAGGGGAAGGAGGAGATATTTGAGCTAGCTGCCATTTCATTTTTCAGAAAGGGGGAGGAAAACACTTAATAAAGATAATTGGGCTGGTAGTGCCTGTTCCCATCTGGAATCTCAACACAGACAGACCCCAGGGCAGACGATCGGTCATTAACCAGGAAAATAACCTATTTGGAAGGGATCCGTTTGTTTTATAAATGATGCTCCACTTGAGAACAGCTTAACCGCAATAATAATAAAAGTTCCTCGAAAACCCAGCCAGGGGATGGTGCTGAAATATCGATCCAGCTTCTGTTGATAATGGCTGGACTAGGTTTCCGCTCGGCTTGCAGGAAACAGCCTTTGAAGTTTGCTTTTCTTTCTTTTTTTTTTTTAAGTCTAAATAGAATTTAAACTGCCCTTTGGTGATCAGTGGTTATTAGTGGCTTGGGTTAGGACATACTGAGTCTCAGGGTCAGAAGAGGTGATCCAGGCTGAGAAAGGAAGACGGGAGACGAGCCCTGAGAAGAGGGGAGGGGAGGTCAGCTCTGAGCTGGGTAAGTGGAAATGGATTCTGCAGAGGGAGCGTCCTGGTCTGAAAGGCAGCTCAGAGACAAGGACTCCGAAGGACGAATTCCCCACCCCGCCCTAGCCTGGCCACCGTGCCCGCCCCGCCATCAACACACATGTGAGCGCGTGTGCACCCACGCACAGGCACACAGAGGCAAGGCAGAAGCAGTCAGAAAAGTCATTCATCGAGGCCAAACTGGAATTGTATAGATCAAGGCATTGAGGGTCTGATCCCAGCAGCTCAGGGTCTGATCCCAGCGCCCTGATGGTGCAGACAAGGGGGAGCGATTACTATAATTAGAAATAAGGTTTCAGTGGCAAAGCTCCTCTGAGCCATCTATTTCCAAGGAAGGTTGCTCAGCTGCTGAGGAGGGCGTGTGAAAGCGTGGTCTTCAGAGACAAAGGAAAAACGAGAGGTGGGGATGGAACCTACATGCAACCTGCCTTTTAAGGAAAAGGAGGAATCTGCCCTTTGAAGGATTCGCATCTACACCAGTGGTTCTCTACTGGGACGATTCCCGACCCCCACCTTCAAGGGGTGTGTGGTAATGTCACAACCGGGGGCAAGGCGCCACTGACATCTGTGACATAGGGACCAGAGAGGCTACTGAACATCCCAGACTGTTCAGGATAGTCCCACCTTTCACCCCTCATCCCCTGCCCCAGGCAACGGAATCACCCAGCCCCACAGATGTCAGTAGTGGCAAGTCTGAGAAGCCCTCCCACCTACTCAGATCTCACTCACTGAGAAAAAAACCAAAAAAATCCACTCTGGCCCCCAGAACACCAGCCTCTGCCCTCACTCCCCACCTCCACCCCTCCCTATCTGTCACTTTCACTGGTTAACATGCTCCAGGAACAGAATGTCTTAGAGTGTCTCAGCAACCAGATTCCAAAGCATCACTTCTTTAGGGTGTTCTTCTCAACCTGGCAGCCGAAGTTGGAAAGAGGATGAAGGTTCATCTGTGACACACAGGACCCACAAGCTCTCCATCTCAGACATGGTGTCCTCCGTGGCTTCACAAGGTCACATTTTTTCTTTTTTGGCTGCACCTTGCAGGATCCACGGGGTCTCAGGAATTGGACACAACTTAGGCCTAAACCACCACCTCCCGCAGGATCTTACTTCCCCAACTGGGGACCCCTGACCCAGGGATCAAACCCAGCCTCCCTGCAGTGGAAGCTCAGAGTCTTAACTACTGGACCGCCACAAGGTCACATCTTGAAGGCACCATCTGTAAAATGGGTATAATCATCATGCTGCCTCCTAGGGTCACTAGGAAGAAATGAGACGAGGAAATGAGAAAACATGTCACCCAGGGCCAGGCGTGTATAGGTGCTCAAAAAGGAACAGAGGGGAGAGGAAGGAGGGAAGAGAGGGATGGAGAGAGATAGCGAGAAGAAGGAGGAGGAGAAAGAAAGAAAGTGTGTATGTTGCCTTCCAGCCCATGTCAGGCACTATGCCTGCAAAAATCGCCACCACCCCCAATGCCCACGGAGTGTCTATCACTCATCAAGGGATGGCTGCCATTTTTCAATCATAAAGAATAAGCTAATGCTCTAAGCTCTTTGGAATTATCATCCCCATCATCTGCCGAGCTGAAGTGTGTATCTAAGCAAAGCCCCATTCACCTTTCCCCTCGTCCTCTACCTTGATTCTGGAAAGAGAAGGGGGGAGGGCGGGGCACGGCCTTACCAAATTTCTCCCTGCATGCCCGACTGTTTCCTCCTGACAGCGTTTGACTGTGCTTATTATTTCCAGCAAAGCCCTTATCATTTTCAATGTGAATTTCAAATCACACTGATCCGGCCCTTCTTAGCTAAAGTCAGCTTTATCAACCACAAGAGATGTGGGATTTGAGAGAGATCTGAGTAAATTCACATTGTTTGGATAAACTCATTCAGGGAGCTCAACAAATCAAAGCCGAAATGGATATGTATTCCAAAGAGACTGAGAACTGCTGGGGGAAGAAAAAAAAGGAAAAAAGTTACCATTAACATTTTTATTTCTTAAAAAAAACCCATAGCGGTTGCTTTTTAATGAGTGTGTTCACCACCTCGTTTTTTGAACCATTACCAGGGCTCCGTAGGACACCAGGTGAAGTGATAGGAGCTGTGAGGCTTATTGACAAGAGAAGCAAGTAGTTAGGGAAAATTATATCACCCACCCCCCACCGCCACCCCCTAACTTTGGTCATTGAGACCACTATCAAATATGGTAATGGGTGAATTTATGCATTATCCCATAATTTAAGGAACTGTGTGTATCATGTATATTTAAAACTATTTCTCTGTAGTTTTAATTATCTCAGTCTGCAGGGGCAAAAAGAAAAAAAGCAGGCAGCTCCCTTGCCTAAGACCAAAATGAAAGCATTTGCCTGCTGACAGCTAAGATGTCTGTCCTAGCTGGTTGAGATTTCCTATGAAATTTGCATTGGAAAGGCAGCTTTAAGTATACTTAAAATAAAAAAGGGGCATTTGCATCTAATTTGCTACACTTGCAGTATTAGAGTTTTATCTGAATAAAGACACGTCAACTGGATTTATATAGTTAAGCTGATAGCTGGGGAAGTCAACACCGAAAACATCAGTTAAATTCAACAGAGTTGGAGAGCAGCTAAGAGTATTTACAAGTCTGGGTTGTTTTTTTTCCTCCCCCATACACTGATGACTTTAAAACTGTAGCAAATTATCTTTTTTTACACAAGTCTGGCAATTACAAGGTTTTAATGTTGCTCAGTTGGTAAAGAATCTGCCTGCAATGCAGGAGACCCGGTTCGATTCCTGGGTCAGGAAGAGCCCCTGGAGAAGGAAATGACAACCCACTCCAGTATTCTTGCCTGGGAAATTCCATGGACAGAGGAGCCTGGCAGGCTACAGTCTGTGGGGTCGCAAGAGTCAGACACGACTTAGCAACTAAACTACTACTACTAATGAAAGGACACCTCTCTCCCCTACCAACACACCCAAAAGTTATTAAATGGAGTGCTTCTAAATTGTGGTGTGGTACAAATCTCAGTGCCTTGGGACTCAGGTAGGTTGGAATCCTGACTCGGCCAATTACTGGCTGTGTCACTCTGGGCCAGTCCCTCCTTAGTCTTTATTTCTTCATCTGTAAAATGGGGGTTGTGATAGCTAATATTCAGGTCATTACGGTAGGCAGTCTGCAGACTGCCCAGTGACTGGGGGCAAATGAGGACTGAAAGTCAGAAATATGACTGGATCACAACATCCCAGAAAAGAGCATCTTTTTTCTCACTTAGGTGCTAAATCGCCAGCAGCCCCAGCTAACCTCACAGGGAAATCACAGGGTTTAAAATGAAATGATAGGGGTTTCCCTGATGGCTCAGTGGTGAAGAAATCCGCCTGCCGATGCAGGACACGTGGGTTCCATCCCTGACCCAGGGAGATCCACATGTCACAGAGCAACAAAGCCCGTATGCCACAGCTATCCAGCCAGTGCTCCGCAGTCTGGGAGCTGCAACTACGAAGCCCGCACACCCTAGAGTTCATGCTCTGCAACAAGAGAAGCCGCCACAATGAGAAGCCCCCGGACGACTATGAAGAATAGCCCCCGCTCGCCA